GAGCGCGATCTATTAAAGCCCAAGGGGGGTTATTAAGGAGCGCTTAACTGGCGCGAGCACAGGCATGAACCCCTTCCTCTTATTATCAGCAACATCGAGGTCGAAAGCATTTAAACTATTGATGACTTTCTGGTTCGACTAGACACTGATCGACTCGGGATAGACAAACCGGACCATGGAATTAAGGGCGCGGCACAATACGGAAAACGAAGGCTTCAAGCAACGAGGCCAAAACGAACCAACCGGGCGACTCCTACGAGCAAGGTCGGAACGTTTAAGCCGCGCGTCAAATGCCGCCTAAAACGCGTTTTTTCAGGAGACGCGCAGACGACCCTGGTGCATCTCACGCGCTCCTGGGCCTCCCTGAATCGATTATGCAAAGCGTTCCAACCCGTGGAAGACTGCGCGGGGCGATTGCCGCTGAACGCGCAGGCCCTGGCCCGGCGCTGCCGTCCTCGAGGGCGCGACAGAGCAACGGAAGAAAAGCATTAATCAATCTGCGTGATAGCAGCACGCGAAAAACGACAAGTTCTTCCAAGCCCGAACGCCATGTTCCAAACCCCCCCTCTGGCGAAAGTCATCGGCATTACTGCGCAACTCGCGAAGGTATGCGCGCGCATCAGAAGCGCCCCATTGCGCGCGCGCAGCGGCTTTGACAAGGCGACGCGCAAGAGCCTCCACGCGTCGCGTGCCCCCTTAACCGCGCGCAGGGCCGTCGCGGTGGAAACGACGAGGCATGCCTCCATTAGGAGTGCAATTCTCAGCCCTCGCGCACGCGTGGCCCTCCTCTGGCAGAGGCGCGCCGAGTAATGAAATTAAGTCACTGCGCGCGCGGGAAATCATAGGACTGTAACCGTTCGCCCCACCACCTGGAGTTAACAAGAATGCCCGCAAAGGAAGGCGCGACGCGAGGGCGAACGCGCACGGCCGCAGCGTGACCGCGAGGGGCGCGCGGAGCACGCACGTCAAGGAACAACCTCTCGACGACGTCGCGCGCGCGACACCCCGGAAGACGAAGCAATTCGACAACGAATCCCACCAGCCCTCTGGGCGTAGGTGGTTTAGGGAGTTTCCTCTTCCAACCTCCTTCTTCCCCTTCGGGGAGGGGTTTACCCCTCCCCCTACCCCCTCCCCTGGACCTGGACGGGGGGTTCCGCGAGGTGTCGGAGCGTCCAAGATGGCCCAAGATGGCTCCAAGAGCGCCTCGGGGAGCCCAAGATGAGCTCCAAGATTGCTCAAGCTAGCCTCAGATGCCTCAAGATGGTTCCGAAGATGCTCCAATAAGCCCGAAGACCGCCCCAAGACGGCTCCAAGAGGCCAACTAGCTTTCCCAGGAGGCCTCCAATGAGGCCAAGATCCTTCAACAACCTAAGGAGAATCAATGTTGTTTGCTTTCTCGCCTTTTCGCTTCCGATGGCCATTCGAAGCCTCAAAATGGCTCCAAGATGGCCCAAAAGGGCCCCAAGAGGGGCCCAATATGGCCCCAAGACGGCCCCAAGAGCGACCAAGAGCGCCCCAAGAGCGCCCCAAGAGGGGCCCAAGAGGCGATTTTAGGCGCTCTAGAGAGGCAGGGCGAATCTGAACCCTCCCTTTCTTTGATCGATCTCCTCCAAGATGGTCCCAAGAGCGCCCCCAAAGCCCCCGAGAGCGCCCCAAGAGGGCCCCAAGAGGCGCCCAGGAGGCCCCAAGAAGCCCCCAAGAGGCCCCCAAGAGGCCCCCAAGAGACCCCCAAGAGGCCTCAAGAGGCCCCCCGAGGCACCCAAGACGCTTCAAGAGGCCTCCGGGACCGCCAAGACGCTCCCAAGACGCCCCAAGAGGCCTTCAGGACGCCCCCAAGAGACATCCGAAGAGACTCCGAGAGGCATCCAAGAAGCCTCTGGCCATTTTGCTCGCCCTTTTCCTCCTCCTCCTGCTCCTCCTCCTCCTCCTCATCCGCCTATTCCTCCTCCTCCCTCCTCCCTCCTCCCGCTCCCCCTCCTCCTCCTTCAGTTCATCCTCCTCCTCCTCATCCTCCTCATCCTTCTCCGATTCCTCCTCCACCCTCGCCGTCTTCGGTAAGACGGGTTCCCCGGCCCTGTGTTACTCTGTATTATCCCTCACTTCCCTGATCACCTCAATTCGCCTCGGCATCGTTTCTGGATGGGCTGGTGGGGATGCGCGAAGCGTCTAGAATTTGTTATGATGCGTGCGCGTCGTTTCCCCCGCAACCTGACAAACCCATTGGCGGGCGAAGGTTAAGTTAGAACCGACGAAATTATTCTCGACGCACTCGATGAGCGCGTCAGCGGGCCCCGGCCGTCGATCGGTGAACGATTTCAAAAATGCCACGCAATCGTTGCCTTCGCGCCTTAGCTCCCCCAGACGACGCAGTAAGACGGACAGTTTAGACTGAAGCAAATTAGCCGTGGGGCATCGTGCGCAGCAGGGACATCGTCGGCAGCGCAAACGCGAAGATGCGAACGAGAAGGGACGGAGCGCTGATTGCGAGGGAACTTACTACGAACCTTAGACCCCCCCGATGGTAACAGAAATATGGAACTGCTGGCGACATCCCTGCATCGCATACGTGTGAACGAACGGGGCGTTCAGCCGGGCATGCAACGCACCCGCAAACTGTTTCTCTATGAAACGCAACTCCACGTCCGAACTGGAGGACACATGCATTAGAGGCATCTGGGTGAAAGAGCCGACGCCGAGAGACCGCATTTTGTAGTGCGCAGGGATTTGGGAATCCTTCCGGCACGAGAACAAAGCGCAATGGTGTTCATTGGTGCGCTCAACAAAGGATCTGGTAGATTCTCCCACGCACGTAAAGCTGTGCCCCATGGAAAACCACGCATACATGAACTTACACAACTCATGACGAACAACACGATCACACTGAGCGAACGTGCACACATGATGAAGCATGTTCAATATTTTCTGATGCGAACGAAACTTCGAAACACCCATCCACCTCGCAGCAACAATCGCCCGGATGTGGTTCAGAACGTAAACAGCAGAATGCCATGCTTTTATTCTGAGACTCGGCGCTACGCTTGCAATAACGCAACAAAACAAGGAGGGGGGGGAATGCGCGTGGCACGTTGAAAAGTCCTGCACTTCACATGGGGGTCCGTCACCAGCCTCAACATTGCACGCGAGCGCACGCGAGCGCACGGAACGAACAGAAGCACAATAGCAAGCCATTCGAGACTGGGATGGGAAATGACTCTCGCAACATCAACCGCCACGTCATCCCTGGCCTCGCTGCGGCATTCACGCAGCCACTTCCGGACGGGGAAACGGCGGCAGCAGCGAGGCAGGGAGGAAGAGGAGAGACATGCACAACTGTTTGCCTGCAGGCCTAGACGCGCGATGCGCGGCAATATGAATGCACAATTGGAAGCGCGGAGTTGCCAACGTTGCCGGGCAACTCGGAACAGCCTCCCTTTCGATGGTCAGTCCGTGCGGGAAGCGCAGATCCGATCCGACTCAATCGAAGCGGCAGCCAAGTCGTCCTCGTTCCGGCGAATGCCCTTCCTCGCGCGAGGGCTGGGCGTGCCGATGTCGAAGTGCACAAACGCCCCCGGCAAGTCGACTGGCCAATCTCCTCGAAAGACAGGTCGGCTTCGAGCCCGTCGCCCCAATGAACTGAGGAGACTGCGCCCGGTTCCATGGTGAGACCGACAACCTGTCCTTTACGATCAAGATCATTGTCACGCACCTCAAGATCGAGCAAGTCCTGGGGGAGCGATTGTCGCACCCGTTCCGCCTCCCAGACACGATCAGTGCCAATATCAGTCTCAAGCTAATTCCTGCGCGCAGCCGGCTGCGCGCCTGCAGCGGAAGAAAGCGACTCTTGGCGGCGATCGCGCCGAGCAGACTCTTCCGTGTGCTTGCGGTCCAGGAACGAGGCCACATATTCGCCCATCGGGATGCTGAGTTTCTGGTGGACTGCCTTTGCGCCTGTGATGAAGTCGCCCCAGTCCTCGTCAGATGCTGACATGGGGATAAGGCGTGAAATTTCCCCTGCCCTGTCCAGAATCTGGTTCCAATCCTCGTTAGCTTTCGCGAAGACGGGCACGACTTTTTCTTTCTTCGTGAGATCCTTCATGCCAACATTGCTACTTGCCACGACCTCAAATTTCGAGGGATCATCTTGGTGAAGAGGCAAGTACCGGCCGTGGCCATCCTCGCAGACATCTCTCAGATCTACGACGCGGCCCTCGAAGATACAAACCGCTCCTGACTTGGGCACAGGCGTTTCTGTCGGCGCTGACATTGGGATAAACGAATAAAGTGGCATTCGCATGCCGCGTCCAAAACCACCCTGGTATGCCGGAGGGCGGGGAGCAAACGGATTTTGCGAATCCATGATGAGCGCTTGGCAAGTACAGTACACAGAGTAAGAGAGAGAAGTGCAAAGACGCATGCACGCATGTAGTATTTGTACCAAAACCGTCTTGGAGCCCAGTTGTACCAAAACCGTCGCAGGCGGCTCGCGAGCCAGAGGCCCGACCACTGGGGCGGTGGGGCGGGGTGGCAGGCGGGGAAGTAGGAGCGCGATCGCGAGCATGACAAGTCGGGGTGCGAGCTTCACCCTTGGCAGGCTTATTGACATTTGCTCCTTGTTCTCCTTCTTGTCACAAACGCCTCCCATGTGGAACAGACTTGCACTGGCGACCACAGGAACTGGAAATGCCTCAGTTTACCCGCAGCCGTCAGTGCGGGTGCGAGAAAAAATGTCGTTCCAGCAGGAGCTCACAAAGACGCCGCAGTCTAGCCTCGGACTAGAGGTATCCTTCTTGCCCAGGGGACACAAGCATCTTGAATCAAAATGGCTACGGAGGAAAAAGGAGGAGGAAGAAGAAGAGGGGGAGGAGGAGGCAGAGGAGGAGGAGGAGGAGGAGGAGGAAGAGGAGGAGGCGGAGGAGGAGGAGGAGAGGGAACGACAAGAGCCCAGAAACATATAGGCGCGGAGTTCGAGGGGGCGGAGCGAAAGCGGCCGGGCAAAGAGCCTCCGGCTCCTCGTCGGGAACCAAGTCCGAGCGGACGCAGTACAGGGAGCCGGGGACGATCCAGGGGGAGGAGGCCGCCACCTGGGAGGCAGGAGGGAGGAGGAAAGAGGAAGGAGGTAGAGGAAAGATGAAGAGGAAGGACGAAAGAGGAGGAGGACGAGGAGGATTAGCATATGTGTATATATATATACACATATACTAGAACCATCGCGCGCGCTTCGCGCGCGCAGGTTCTAGCAGGTCCCAGGCCTTGACGAATTCACTGCTCCACTGAAGTAGTGGACCACAGTCCACGCATGCCAATCCGCATTCCGAAAGGCTTTCGGGGAAAGTGGTTGCGTAGGGGGGCGGAGGCTGGATGAATCGGGTTCCCAGAAGGCCTTCTGGGAGCATGGGTTTGGGGGGCGTCTTGGGGAGCCTGTTGGGGCGTGCCGTCGTCGTCCTCGTAATGTCGTCGTCGCCTCTTGGGGCGCGCCGTCGTCGTCGCCGTCGTCGTCGTCCTCGTCTTCGTCATTTCGTCGTCGTCGTCGTCGTCGTCGTCGTCGTCGTCGTCGTCGTCGTCGGTTCAAGAGGGCACTTGGGGCAACTTTGTGCGAAACGATCTGCGGAGGGCCGCGAGAAGGCTATCAGTCATGTTCCCAGTCAACTTCCCAGGCAGCTCTCCTGTAACATGATGGTGCTTCGAAGCCTCCAGAGACTGGCGGGCCCATGATGAACCCTGTCCCCGGAAGGCTCTCTGGGAACATGGTTTGCTGGGGTGTGTTGGGGGGCCTCTTGGGCGTTCCCTGGGGGCCCCTTGGGGGCCTCCGGGAACTCTCGGGCCCATTATGAGCCATGTCCCTGGAAGGCTTTATGGGGACATGATTTCTTGGGGTGTGTTGGGGTTCCCTGGGAGCCCCTTGGGGATCTCTGGGGGCTTCCTGGGGGCCTTTTGGGCGCCTCACGGGGCTTCGAGGGAGCCTCGTGGTGGCCTCCGGGGGCCAACTGGCGGCCTCTAGGGCCAGAGGCCTCGAAATATCGGTTGGCGGTCCCCCTCTGGGCCCGCTCTTGGGGAGCTCTTGGGGCACACTTGGGTTGTCTGGGGAGCCTCCTGGGCCGTCTTGGGGCCCTCTTCGGGGGGGGGCGCCTACTGGCGGCCTCTAGGGCAAGTGACCTCGAAATATTGGTTCGCGGTCCCCCTTCTGGGCTCCACCTTGGGGAGCTCTTGGGGCACACTTGGGTTGTCTGGGGAGCCTCCTGGGCCGTCTTGGGGCCCTCTTTGGGGCCTCATGGGCCGTCTTGGAGCGATCTGAAGGGCCTCCGAGCAAGGCCGTGAGGGAGCGCTGGAAAGCGGAAAAAGCGAGAACGCCAAAATCCCAAACACTCGGAAAATGAGAGAATCTTGCCTCCCAGGGCCCTCTTGGGGAGCCTCTTGAGTCCGTCCTGGAGCGTGTTGGAGTCCTCGTCGGCTGTCTTGAGGGCATCTTGGGCGTCTTCGGGGCCTCTTGGGACCGTCTTGGGCCCTCTCGGGACCCCCTTAGCCTATCGTGGCCTGTTTCGGGGCAGGCTCGGGCCGCCTCGGGAGCTCTGCAACGCCCTCCCACAACCCCCTGCGGGCACCGATGGGGGGAGCAGGCAGCGGCCCGCCCCCCCACCCCCCCGGGCCTACTCCAAGATAGAGAATCATGTTCCCGGAAGCTTTCCAGCTCTCTTAGGAAGGGGGCCTCTGGGGGCTTACAAAGGGCCCCTTTTGGCCTTGTCGGCAAGCCTACTGGAAACATGGTTGGGGCGGTGGGCGGAAGTCCAAGGAATCATGTTCCCGGAAAGCTGTCTGGGAAATACGATTTACCGATGTGTCTTGGGAGCCCGCAGGGGACTTCCCTGGGGGCCCCTTGGGGGCCTGTTGGGGCTTCCGGGGGGCCTCTTGGGAGCCGCCTCACGGGGCTTCTTGGGGGCCTCTTGATGGCCTCCGGGGGCGTCCTAGGAGCCTCTCAGGCAGGAGACCTTGAAATGTCGCGCTCTTCGGGCCCTCTTGGGTCGCTCTTGGGGCTCTCTTGGGACGCTCTCGAGGCCCTCTTGAATTATCTGGGGAGCCTCCTGGGCCGTCTCTGGGCTTTCTTGGAAGCCTCTTCGGCCGTCTTGGAGCGATCGGAAAGGTCTCTGACGCCGTCTGGGACCGTGGGGAGGCGGAACATGGGAGAGCGAAAAATGATTTTCGGCTTCTGGGGCTCTCGAGGCCCTCTTGAATTATCTGGGGAGCCTCCTGGGCCGTCACCTTTCTTGGGAGCCTCTTCGGCCGTCTTGGAGCGATCTGAAAGGCCTCTGACGCCGTCCGGGACCGTGGGGAGGCGGAACATGGAAGAGCGCAAAAATGCTTCAAAAACAATTGGACAATGTCTGATTTTCGGCTTCTGGTGCCCTTTGGGAGGGCCTCTGGAGGCGCTCTTGAGGCGTTTGGGCGGCGTCGTCGGCCGTCCTGAGGCCATATTCGGCGTGTCCGGAGCCTCTGGGGGCTGTTCGGGCCCCTTTTATTTGGAGGCATCTTCGGCCGTCTTGGAGCGATCTGAAAGGTCTCTGACGCCGTCCGGGACCGTGGGGAGGCGGAACATGGGAGAGCGAAGAATGATTTTCGGCTTCTGGGGCTCTCGAGGCCCTCTTGAATTATCTGGGGAGCCTCCTGGGCCGTCACCTTTCTTGGGAGCCTCTTCGGCCGTCTTGGAGCGATCTGAAAGGCCTCTGACGCCGTCCGGGACCGTGGGGAGGCGGAGCATGGGAGAGCGCAAAAATTTGTCAAAAACCATCGGAAAATTGGAGCCGAAAACTGCGCAAAACCTTTTCGAACTCCGAACTCCGAATCTTTACCAAAAAGCTACGAACAGTTTCTAGAAGAGCCGACGACGACGACGACGCCCACGATGACGACGACGACGACGACGGCAAGGGGCAAGGCGTGGATCCTCGCCCCCCCGAAGCAGATGTTCCCAGAGGCCCCTCCGGGAACATCTCCCGGAACCGCTCAGACCCGAGAGTTTTGCGCGACGGCGTCTGCGCAGCGCGGCGCGAACGCAACTTGACGGAGGGGGCGGGGATGGCGCTCGTGTTGGGGCCTCTTGGGGTCTTTTGGAGGCCTCTTGGGGACCTCGTCGGGGCCTCTTGGGGGCCTCTCTCGGGGCCTCCTGGGAAGCTTTCACGGCGGAAAAATAAAATTTTGACTTTTGGTTTCCCCTCGTGGGCCCCTCTGGAAGCCTTCTCGGGGCCCTCTTGGGCTTTCTGGGGCCCTCTGGGGCGCCTCTTGGGCTGTCTTGGGGCTGCCCAGGGCCGTCTTCAGGCCGTCAGGGGGGCCTCCCGGGCAGTCTTGGGGCGCTCTTGAGGACCTGTTGGGCATTGTTGGAACGTCGGAAAGGTGAAAAGTCGATCAAAACCAAAAACATAGAAAACACAATGGAAAATCATCGATTTTGGCCTCTCGGGGCTCTCTTGGGGCGCTTCTTTGAAGCCTCTTGGGGCGGCTTCGGGGCTTCTTGGGCTGTCTTGGGGCCATCTTGGGCGTCGTCGGGGCCTCTTGAGGCTTTCTTGACCATCTGTACGGCCCGCGTGGCCTGTCGTGGACAATTTGAAAGCGGCACGGGCAGTCCCGGGGGGTTTGTGACCCCCCAAAGGTCCCGCGGGGCGCCCATGGGGGAGGGTGACACTGGCCCGCCCCCCCCCCCCCCCCCCCGGCCTATTCCTGTATATATATATATATATATATATATATATATATATATATATATATATATATATATATATATATATATATATATATATACTAGAACCACGCGCGCGCTTCGCGCGCGCTTAGGTTCCAGCAAGCGCAGGCTCTTGACAATACCACGGCTGCGCGCATTGACAAAATCACGGCTGCACGAATGCACGTACCGACGAATGGTTTCAGCATGATTTGAAACATCAACATGAGCCTGGCCCCAGCAGAAAAGGGTCTCTTGGGCGCCGCGGGGGGCTAGTCCAGGGTATCGTTGGGTGTTTGCGGCCTATCTTACTGTGGAGCTCACGCTGTACAAGATGATTACTCGATCAAGCGAGGCCATATGTATGGGGGAGCGGGCAAGGAGGGACTGAGGGGAGGGGGGCGAGAGAGAGGAGGGAAGATAAAGAATGGAACCGATGCCCCAGCGTCCGCTTGTGGTTCGGACTGATCTCAGCCATCTTGCCCTTCTCTTGGGGCCGTCGTGAATCCTGGGGCCAAATCAACAGGAGGGCAACGGATGAAGCCGCCACCGTGCCTGTGTTGTGGGTCAGAGGCATATTGGATGTTTGTTGGGGTCTCTTGCGAAGCTTCCAAAGAACATGTTCGAGGCAATTCTGATGCCTCGCGGGGCTCGTCCGTGGCTGCTTGCGGACTGTAGGGGCTTCTTTGGGGCCTTCAGTGGGCTTCGTGGGGCCTCTGGAGTGGTTCTTGGGGGGAGGCAATTTTGAAATGTTTCGAAGCCTCTGGGGGGCCGTTTGGGGGCATTTTGGGGCCTCTTTGGGGTCTCTGACGGGGGCATGTTTAAGCCTCTTGGGGCCTCTTGGGGGCCTCTTGGGGGCCTATTGGGGCGGAAATCTCCATTGTCGGTTCGTGTTCCCCCTCTTTGGCACCTCTTGGGGCCGTCTTGAAGCCCTCTTGGGCCGTCTTGGGCGCCTCTTGGACCGTTTGGGCGCCCTCTTGGGCTGTCTTGGGGGCCTCTCGGGGGCCTTTTGGGCCGTCTTGGGGCGATGTTCGAGGCTTCCTCGGCAATCTTGGAAGGTCAGAAGCCCGAAAACGCGGGCAAGCAAAAAAACATTGAAAAACACAATGAAAATCTATGATTGTTGCCTCTTTGGGCTCTCTTGGAAAGCCTCTCGGAGCGCCCCTGGGGCTTCTTGGGGGCCCCTTGGGCCTTGATGGGGCTATCTTGAGAGTCTTGGAGCGCTCTTGGGCCGTCTTGGCGGCTTCTTGCCGTCCCCGGAAGCCGTGGTGGACGCCTCCAGGGGCGCAAAAGAGCCTCCGGACGCCCGGGGGCAAAGTGGGTTACGGGGGGGGGGGGGGAAATTCGGGAGGGTGTCCCGGCCCGGGGCCCTGG